CAGGAGCTAACATCCAAAATATACAAGGAACTCAAACAATTCAATAGTGAGAAAACAACCTTATTCAAAATAGGCAAAGGCCGGGTATGGTGGTGCACGCCTGTAATCCAAGCACTTGGGAGGCTGAGGCAGGTGGATTGTTGTGAGTTGGAGGCCAGCCTGGGCTATGTGAGCAAGACCCTGTTCCCCACTTCCCCCAAAAAGAAAAAAAATAGGCAAAGGATCTGAATAGACATTTCTCAAAAGAAGACATACAAGTGGCTGACCAGCATATGAAAAATGGCCCAAATCACTAATCTTGAAAGAAATGCTGGGCCAGGGAAATGGCTCAGTAGAATAAGCGCTTCCTGGGCAAGTGCAAGGGCCTGAGTTCAATCCCTGGTGCTGGAAAAAAAAAAAAAGAAAGAAAGAAAGAAAGAAAGAAAGAAAAAAAAAAAAAAAAAAGAAAAGAAAAGAAAAAGAAAAAGAAAGAAAGAAATGCAAAATGAGCTTTCATCTCGTGCCTGTCAGAATGGTCATTATCAAAATCACAAAAGATAAATGCTGACAAAGATGTGCAGAAAAGAGAACCCAGGTATAATTTTGTGAAAAGGTAGTACAGACATTACGGATAAAGGTACGGAGTTTCTTCCAAAAGAACGAAAAACAGGACTACTGCTATGATCCAGCAGTGCCACTCCTGGGTATCAAAGGGAATGAAATAAGAGACACTCGCATTCCCATGTTCACTGTGACATTACCCATAATAGGCAGGATACAGAGTCCACCCATGTGCGAATCAAAGGATAGGATAAAGGAAAAAATATATAGGTAAATAAATATTCTTCAACCTTAAGAAGAAAAAAAGTCTGTTATTTGTGATAAGACAAATGGCCATTAAGTGAAATATGCCAGGCACAGAAATACAACTACTGGCTGGGCGTGGTGTTGCATGCTTGTAGTCCCAGCACTTGTAATCCCAGTAGGCTGAGGCAGGAGGATTGCCACAAGGTTGAGGCCAGGGTGAGTTACACAGAGTTTGAGGCCAGCCTGAACTCTGTAGCAAGACCCTATATCAACAAACAAAAGAACAAACATAAAACAGACTAAGGCTTCATCTCACTTTTTTTTTTTTGGTCAGTCTTTTCCTACTATTTTTCACTTTATTTATTTATTTTTATTTTATTGAGAAACAAATATCAATGAGACACTTTCCAAGCTGATTAATAGGACATTTTCAATAATTAATACACTGCACATTGTTATCTTCTCAGTGGTCATCCACAATACAAGAAGCAGCCAGGACATCCCGACCAAACACTACTGCTACAAATCTTTCCTCTCATGGAACCAAGCAAAAGCAGCTGTACCTCTATCCTAACTATTCTGTATATAGAAATACAAAATGGTCCTTCCTCTGTATCCCCCCTCTCCAGTTCAGTCCTGTTAGAGATGGGTATTCTATTGGCATCTAAATATTATAGGTGCTTAAATTCAGCACAACAATCCAACACAGTCCAGTAGTCCACAATAGTAGGGGGGTGTCCGCAGAAGTTGTTGACTTGAGCCTTTTACAGCTCAGCTTAGTACTATGGCTTTACTTTATATACCTCGTTTTTATACTTTTCTGCTGGATGGTTAAGATCAAGATAAAGCAAGACCTATATAACAAGAAATGTAACTTTTGTTTCATCTCACTTGTATGTGGAATTTTAAAAAATCAAACTCAAAAACAGAATAATATTGTGGTCACCAGAAGTAGGGTGAGGGCCGGGGAACACAGGGAGAGCGAGGAATCCAAAATTTCAGTTAGACAGGAAGGGTCAGCTCACACGAGATGTACATTATGGTGATTACAGCAACACATATTATACATCTAGAAATTGCTAAGAATAGAGTTTATGTGTTCCTATTCCAAAATATAGTGAGATACTATATATGGTAACCTGACTTAGCCATTGTGTGTGTGTGTGTGTGTTCTAGAACATCAGGTTGTAGACCATAAATCTATAAAATTTCTACTTGCAAAATAATTATTTTAAAACAAGGAATAAACCAGTCAGACTTGCCCTTCTCTCGGCTCCTAGCTGTACTTACTCTTAACCAAGAGGCCAGGGTTTTCTGTTCCTAGAGACCTGTGGTGCTTCTTGCTGGCACTCCTAGCACACTAAGGTACCATTTTTACTTTACGAATCAACTCAGAGTCATGCTGTATGACAGGCACAGCTCCGCGCTCTTCGCGAATGTTTATTTAATCCCACTCCACCAGGACTGGCGAATCCTGACTACCGCACTTCTCACTGGGCAGAATCAGACCTCCTTCCCCCGGGATAGGAGCTGGGACAGCCCAAAACTGATGTGGCTGGGAGCGGGGAGTGTGCTACGTCCCTTTCCTCAGTGGGCAGCAGAGGGAAAATTATTATTAATAGTAATAATAAAACCTCAGTGAGCATCAACTGCACATGCGCTGTTCTTGGCTAGAACTTGACATTCAGGAACATTCTCATTTTAGCAAGCAACTTACAGGACAGCTTCAGCCCCTTCATTTTACAGGGCTCGGGAGGTGCTAACCAGCTGCCCAGCTGGCACCAAGATCAGGAGCCGGCTGTGGATCTGGGCACTTCTGCTCCTCTCCCACTGCCTGAGGATCCAGGCTTGGCTGGGGGCAGGGCTGGGGCTTGAACCCGAGAATCTGCCCTTAACGCAGGAGGCCCCTGGGCAGGAGCAAGCTAAACAGTCTGCAAGGCAAAGAGAGCCTAACAGCCTTACCCATTACATTTGCAAAGAAAACAGCTCTCTTGCCCTCAACTCCTCTCTGCAGGCTTTAAGCTCCAAACTGAGAGCAGTGGGAGAAGCAGCTATTTTTGTGTTTTCATTTTCTGGCTGTAAAGAGTCAAGTTCAGGGACGCCAGGCAATCTGCCCAAGGCTCGAGGGAAGCAGTGGAACCAGAGAGGCAGATCTGCGAGGTTCCCAACCCTGCGTGGCCCTGGCTGCTGCTGCGCCCGCACCACACAGACAGCCCAGGCGTCCACGTGGGCCTGCAAGTTGTGCACAGCAAGTGGCCTATGACAGAAACTCCAAATTGGTTGTTGCTGACACAATCATAAAGTCAGGCAGAAAGTCAGTCATAGGTAGGCTGGAGATGGGTGGCTGGGAGGGCGCTTTGTGATTTTTGTTCTTTCTTAATCATTAGCTATGGATAAGATCTCAGAAGCTTGTGGTTTCAATGTTTAGTTCAGGAGAATGGAACATCCTCTAAATGTGCTGATAAGGTCCAGGGCCCAATCAGACTATGGGTGAGGGGTTGAAAAGATCCGTCTGGTATGAAATTAGTGGAGACATCCACCTGAGGTGTAAACAGAGGCCAATCTTGGAAGCAGGTCAACACGGCAACCCAGTCAGGCATCACCACAGGGGCGCAGGCAGGCAGAGTCCTGGGCCCTGACCTGCTGCCCTTGCAAACACAGACAGCCAGGTAATTAAAGGCTATTTTCATTATGAGGCAGAACCTTTATTGGGCCTACAAATGCCCAAACTAAAAGCAAAACCGAGTTTGACTTTTATTTTGCAATGAAGTTGCTGGCACAGGTATTCTTGTTAATATGCAGTAAGATTTGGGTCAAATCTTTTCTCAGCTCTACATATGTGTGAATCACTCAGGGAATGTCTGTCTCAAAATTGGCAAAACAAGCTTGAGTAGCCCCAGATTTACATAATCTCACCCCCTTCAAGACTGCAGACATCAGGAAGGGCAACTTCCAGGGACTTTCAGCTATGGGTGAGAAGTCTCTAGCCCTTCTCCTAAACAACTTTGACCACCTGGGAACAGATCATCTCCCCCTTATGGATTCCAGAACAACAGCACCAGGAAAGAAACACTGCATCTACGGGTGGCCCAGTCAGAGCCCTGTGTCCCAGCACCAAGCTGGAGTCCTTTCCTATCATCCCTTTACCTATCCAGTTAAAAGTCCCTCCCTTCCCTTCCCCGGCCTCAGAGCCTCACGGTGTCTCTAGCAGATTCTAAAGGCTCTGACAAGTTCCACAGAAAAACAAATCTGTTTTTTTTCCCCTTAGGCCCAAGTACCCCCCACCCCCACCCCATGCATCTGAGCCAGGGGTCGTCTGCCTAAAGGCGTCAATCAGTCCACCTGTTCTTAGAGGTGCTACAGTCCCCACTGAACAGGAGGCAGAGAAGCGGGCGGGCCCTTGTCTGCCATACATCCCCAAAGCGCTAGCTCTTCCCAGCCCCACCTTGACTCCACTAATGGGGCCTCCACTCCCTCTCCAGCCACACAAGCCTGGTGACACCAACCAAGGAGTGGAGACAGGGACATCCAAGCACTACCAAGGCCTGCCCCCACTGGCAGATTTCAGGAACACAAGAAATGGCCCGAGCCAACCATCTCTGTTGGGAGGGAGGAGACATAGGCTTCCCTGTACCTTCAGGGACCAGCAGGGCCTTTTCTGGTTTTCCTGCCTTGTGTTAACGGTTGTAATTTTCTGTGATGAAGATGCAAGAGGAGCAGGAAGAGGAGAAAGGAGAGGAAGGAAGAAAAGAAGAAAGGAGAAAAAGAAAGGGGAAAGGAGGGAGAGGCAGAAAGGACCAAGGGGAAAAGGAGAGTAAAGGAGAAAGAGGGAGGAGAAAGCAAAGAAGTGGAGGGAGAAGAAGACAGGAAAGGGAGGAGGGGAGGTGGAAGGGGAGGGCACGAAGGAGGAGAGAAGAGGAGGGGAGGAAGGGGGAATTGGAGGGGGAGAGGAAGAGGGGAGGAAGGCAGACAGGGAAAGGGAAGACAGGAGAGGGGGAGGGGATAATGGAGTAAGGGGAAGGGAGGAGGGAGAAGAGAAGGGAGGAGGGGAAGGCGAAAGGCAGGAGGAAGGGGGAGGGTAAGAGGAAGAAGAGAGAAGGGGAGGGGAGGAGGGCCAAAGAAGAAGGAGGGGGAAAGGAGAAGAGGAGAGGTGCGGGAGGCACAGGAGGAGGACCGCAGCTCGGAGAGCGCGGCCACCGCACCCCAGAGCTCACCTACGCGGAAGATGAGGTCGTCCTCGATGGGGTTCTCCTTCCGCTTGCCCGTGCTGTACATGCTTGCGGGCCGCTTCACCGCCTTCTGCTTCACGTGGCCGCTGCCCGGGGACTTGACGCGCCGCTTGACGCCCTCGGCGGTGGGCGACACGTCGGCGGAGCGCACGACCTTGAGCTTGAAGGGGCTGCCGCGGATGTGCTGGTCGTGCAGGCGCAGCGACAGCGTGAAGTCGCCCTCCTTCTGCACGGTGTACAGGAACTCGTAGGTGCCGTTCTTGTTGTCCAGGATCTCGCCGTCCGCCACGCTGCCGTCGGGGGTGCTCAGCTCGGCCGTGAGGTAGGCGTTGCCTGTCTTGCACAGCTCACCGTCCTTGTCCTTGGTGGTGATGGTCACTGACATGGGCTGCCCCACCACGGTCTGCCGGAGCCCCTCGCCCGTGGCCACAGTCTCGGAGGCCACGGCATTGGTGGTCAGGATGGTGCCGAGGTTGTGGATGGACTTCTTCAGCCCCTCGGTCTCCACGATGAAGTCCAGCTGGTCGTTCTCGCGCGGGTGCAGTGGGAAGTCCTGGCCGGCCAGCTCGTTGAGCTTCTCGCTCATCTGCTTCTTGACCAGCAGCACCTCGGTCTCCGTGCCATGGTGCAGCGCCTGCGCCGTGAAGTTGCTGCAGCTCTTGATGTTCTCCTGGCCCTGCAGCAGGGTATCCAGCTGCGACTGCAGCACCTGCGGAAAGCAGAGGCTGGGTGAGGCTGGCCCGCCTGGCTGGGCACCGAGGAGCCTGCCGGGTGGCTGGGCAGCGCCCTCCTCACAACAACTGGCTGCCACCCGCCCGCACAGGCCAGCCCAGCGAGCTGGGTTCCAACGCAACACCCTCCTCTGCCTTCCAGCACCTCCTCGCCCTGCCTCATCTCCCACACTGTTATTTTTTGGATCACGGGTTGGCAGAGGGGCAAAGAGCAACTGTCACGCCCAAGAGCTGTGGCCAACCAGTTGCCCCGCCTGACATCTGAAACGTTCCTCATGCAGTATCTTTCCCCTGTGTTCCAAGCTCCCCCGGTCACCACCTAAAGGAACAGAAACCAAACACATGAGAAGTCTCCACACCTAAATACCAGGAGCGTTGGGTGCTGGGCTGTGTGAACAGACATGCAGAGATGAACAAAGAGGGCAGGCAGGCCTCGCTTTGAAGCTGACTAACAGGTTGGTGTGGAAGGAGTGCAATTAAGAGACGATTCCACGTTATAATTAAGGAGAGAAAACAAGCCAGTTTAACCCCCAAGCCTGAGAGCAACAGCATGATATTCAACCTCACCTTTTATCAAATTATAAATTGGTAGTTAAGGTCAAGGAGTCATACAGTTTTGCTGAAAACAGGAAAGAAAAATAAAGATGGGTATTTGGTTAAATGAAAATGACAGTTTATGTATGATGGTGACAGTTAAGGACCTATATGGGTCCCCTTTGCTGCTTCTGGGATACGGTAAGCCAGGGCTGTGAAGGGCCCGTGCCCAGCGGGAGCCCCGAGAACACCAGGCTTACTTTGTGTTTGAGACCATAGTTGACCTCCAGTTCCATCAGCAGCACGCTCTTGCGCACGTTTAAAGTCTTCTGCAGCTCGTCGAAGGTGGAGTGGATGTCATCCACGATGCTGGCCTTTTGGTTCGTTAACTGATGGATGATTTCTGAGATGAACTGCAGAGCAGAATCTATTTCCGGGAGCCTGGGAAACATTTGTTAAAGACCTTTAATGCCAAATAGTCTCAAGTGGGGCTGGTGAGATGGCTCAGTGGTCTAAAGCACCTACTTAGAACAAGCTTAGCAAAGCACAGGGACCACGGTTCAATCCCCCAGCCCCACATGCCAGCCAGCTGCGCCCCCTGGTGGGCTGAGCTGGCCACACACACACACACACGCAGGCACACACACATACACAAATTAAAAAAAAACAAACAAATAGTCTCAAGTACTGCATCCAAATGCTATCTTATATAGAAATTTTTTTTTTTCCTATGGCTTTTGTCATCTTTAAAATGGGCTGATGGAAAGATGGACTAATGCACAATGGGATGAAGGAGACCTTGCAGGTCCACATCTGTTTGTGTCTTCAGTCAACTAATTTCATTAGTTGATGGTGCAAGATTTGACGCTTGAGGAAAAACCATTGCAGCTAAATAATCCTTTGCAGCAGGGAGTTGTGTGTGCTGCACTGCTGGATGTTAGGTGGCATCCAGTCCTCTCCCAGGTGCCAGCAGCATTATCACACAGCTGTGGCCGCAGAAATGTCTTCAGGCACTGTCAAACCCCCTCAGGGGACAAGGACAGAACTACTCAGGCTTGAGAACCACTGACCTACATTTATAACAGTATCTCTTTTTCCCAACCACAGAAAACTTAACCAAATAGAGTTTCCTGGGAACTTTTCAGAAGTTTCCAAGCTCTCTTCATTAGTTTAGAATAATCATTCTGGATTCTGACTATTGGTAAGCTATTTATCGTCTTGTCTACTTCTGAGCTGCTGTTAATTTTGTCTCATCTTTCTCACGCACAGAGAGCGCCTCTGCTCCTATATGTCTGTGCCCAGAACCCTAGAAGCAGGGAGCGCAATACATTCTACAGATCTCACTGGAGAAAGACACGCGGCCACTGCCTCAGGCCTGTAAGTTAACAAGAGCATCTATGGAGTTCTCGAAGGCCGGGATCAGACGTGAATTTCAGAGATCTCCAGAGAGCATTTTCCTTGAGTGTACTTTAATTCATTTAATCTTCCTAAGAGACTAGAAGAAAAAAATGCCACTACTTGAAGGGCTGATGGAATTTTACCATGGAGAAGGGGAAACTTTCGATCATTTACCAGAGCACAACCACAGACCTAGGATCGAAGGAGAACTTATTTATGGCATAAAGACAGATACCTGAAAGGGTAACCCGAACCTACTGCAGCACTGTAAGGAGACCACGGGCCAGTGTCTCACACGGGGGCCTGGATGGCTGGGGGGCAGGAGGGGTGTCACACCTTTTGTTGACAGCGTCCAGCTGGACCTGGAGTGAGGCCTTGTGCTGCTCTACCACATCCTTGAGCGGGACTGTGGGGTGCTCCGCGTGCTCCCCCTCTGTGCACTCGCGACACATGGCGGTCTCACAGGACTGGCAGTAAAATTCCATCACCTGCAAGGACACAAGAAAAGCTCCAGGTTCATGGTCACAGACTGAGTGCTTACTTTGCAGGAAGCACTTTCCTTTCACTTTCCCAGCTAACTGTCCCGGCCATCGGCCATCGGCCATCGCAGAATGTTGGCACGGCTTTCTCTGGCCTCCTAGAAAGAAAGAAGAATGAATTGGATGGGACAGGTCCAAAACGGAGATGGCTCTGATTCCAGAGCTCCTGCTGCAGCCACAAAGCCAGCTTTCTGGTGGTGGCTGCCTAAATCAGAACAGTGTAGGGCTGTGACTCTCAAGCATTTGTTTTCGGGATGTCTATATAATCTTAAAAAAGTACTGGGGACTCCAAAGGACTTCTGCATATGTGCATGATACCTGCATATATGTGTAACATTAAAAATTTAAAGAGACAAAAGTTTAAATACTCCTTAATTTATTAAAAGCAATCAGTGCACCTAAGTATTAACATGCATCTTAAAATTAATGACCAATGATTATCTTTGCAAAACGATTTTTGTTTTTGTAAACCTCGGCAGCACCCGCCTTCGCAGGAGTCAGCTGGTCTTTATCTTTGCCTATGTGTTCATACTGTTGTAACAGTACATGTCGTATCCACTCTAGAAAGCGCCACAGCACGCTCTTGGGAGAGCAAGAGTGAAAAAGACAACAAATGTCTTCAAATTGCTGCACTACGAGGCAGGGCTTAGGACCCAAGAGGATTCTAGGGCCATCTGGAAATCTCTGCAGGGACACAGATGACCCGGACCGAGGAATGTGCACCCCAGTCCTCCACTCATTAGCTGAGTGATCTCTGGCAAATTCTTTCCTTCCTCGCCTGTCAATTTCTGCTTCCGTCAAATGGAAACAATAACAGTAACTACTTCTCCTGGATGCTGGAAGGCCAACAGGTGAGTAGGCACAGGAGCACAGGGCTGTCTGGCAAGACGCGGAAGGTGCTGTTGGTAAGTAGTGGTTGCTACAGTGATGGGAACACCATCTGGTCACCTGAAAATTAAGACCACCTTGTCCTGAGTGTGACAAACTCTCAGGAATGACACAGCTGAAAGCCTGAAGGATGGTTTTCTTGTAGGGTGGCTCTCCCACACTTTCAGCTGCAGAGAACATCTGATAAGGTTGACCTCAACTCTCTTTTCTGAAGGATTTTTTTTTTTCTTAAAGTACAATGCACACCCCAAAAAGGGCATAAATCTGAACACAACATGAATGCACTCTCCAGACACTTTAGATCCCATGTATAAACATTTATTTATGAAGTTTCAGGTTCTGGAACACAAGAACTCACCCTCCCAGGGCCCATCTAGCTAATACCTTATGTGTAACAGGTACCCTGCACTGCCAAATGCATGACCCAGGGAACCCTCTCAGCTATGGCTTGGTGACAGGCGTCAGGGCAACAGAAGGACTTTCCTTCCTTATTGAGATTCACTCTCCTGCATAACTTCCCTGGAGCTGATTGCCAGGAATAAAACACTGGCTTTGCTGATGCTGTCTTAGAAATAACCATTTCCAGCAAACCAGAGTGAGGTAAAAGTCCTTCAGAGCGCCAGGAATGTGGCAAAAGCCTGCAACCCTGGCACTTGGGAGGGCCAAGCGTTCAAGGCCAACACAGACTAACACAAAGGTCCTGTGTGGAAAAAAAAACCCTCTGCAGGTAAAAACATTTCTCTACATATTCCATTAATATCTATTTTTAAAAATTCATTCATTCATTCATTCATTCATTCATTCATTCATACCAGGGATCAAACTCACAGCCTTGTGCTTGCCAGGCAGGCGCTTATGCTGCTAAGCTATCTCCCCAGCCTATTATGTATTTTAATGCACAAACTCAAATGAAATTTCATATCTCCCATGGGAAGACTCTGACACTAGTAGTCACCTGAATTTTATTTTGGTAAGGTCTGTTTCAATCCAACACCCTTCCCTGTGCTTAGATACTGCATGATAATTATTTGCCAGTCATATATGAGCTAAGGGATTGCTCTAAGGGACCTTCCTCCAGGGAGTGACAACACTCTGAGAAAAGACAACATTGTGGGTTGCTTTAGGAGCATCTTACTATGCTCCTTTCTTTGTGTGTTTAGAAAATAGAATGATCTAAACTACAGGCAGTGGCGGGGCATGGTGCCACAGGCCGTAATCTCAGCAGGCTAAGGCAGGAGGTTTGCTGTGCTGGAGGGCCAGCTTTGGCTACACAGTGAGTCCAAGGCCAGCCTGAACTACTTAACCAGATCCTGTCTCCAAACAAAAAACAACACACACACACACACACACACACACACACACACACACACACCAAAATAAAACTTCAGGCAGTGTCTTATTAAATACCCTATCATAAAGCTTTTAGGCATTATTTTTGGATGCAAATACATAGTAACAAGAAACATATAAGTACTTGGTAAATATCTTACTCATTATTTGAAACTATGCTTAATTAAGCCAAGAGGTTTCCTGTTTTTCAAAGAGCTTGAGAAAGGCGGAATGAAAATGCGGTCCTCAATAAGTTCTCAGATTTTCTTTTGCAAAGTGTCTCCCCAGGGATCGGTAGAGCACTTCATGGCGCTAGCAGGATGTGAGTCGCTTTATCAAAGCACCTCACATTTCTAGATTTTATATGCAACAGACTCTTATTTATTCAAGGTTTCCCTTTCCTGGCCAGAGCTCCTGAGCCCTTTCTAGAGCGCGCTGCCACCAGTGGTCACATGCAGCTGCGCAGAACCCAGGAGCAGAACCTGAAGACTCTTCCCTCCAGTTACTAAGGGTGTTGGGGCCAACTGATGTGTGCTGAGAACGGGACACATTACCAGGGTCACTCAAGGCTGAGAGGCAGTTTCTGCCTCCTCTAGAGAAAAGGGCATGGGCCTAGAAGGAAACTAACCAGAGCAAATTTTACTAGTTTTTTTTTTTAATGTATTTGGTACAGGGTCTTACTATGCAGCTTGGACCTGTGATTCTCCTGTTTTCAGCCTCCCCAGCACTGGGAATATAGGTGTGCACCACCACATCTGGACTCTGTGGCTGGCTCAGTACGCCTGGGGGCAGCTAAGAGGGGCTGGCATGGCCAGGGATCGAACTCAGTGGTGCCAGGGATTGAACCTGGTCCCTGAGCTTGCCTAAGCGCTGACCCTGATTTACTACATTTTAAATGAACTCTTTCCCATATTCGCATAGAGTTCAAAGAAACCATACATAAAGAAAGAACTAAAGGATACACACACACACTAGAAAGAACTAACTACACACAAAACAATGTCTTACCAAATACAAAATATTTAATGAATAGAGGGATTTGTTCTAATAGTGTTTGTAAATAAGATATCATGTCCGCATCTTGTACAGCAATTAACCACTAGGAAGAGAGTATACAAAGTGTTAATTGTTGAAACTGTCCTACCAATTTGGTTTGAAACTGTCTCATTGCTATTTGTTTCTCAATAAAATTCTGGAAAAAAAAAACAAATACAAAATAATAATAAAGAGATAAAAATTGTAAAAGGGAACTAAAGGAACTATTCTGAAGTTAAGAAGTATACCTGAAATGTAATATTCACTCAAGGGTTTCTACAGATACTGTGAGCAGACAGAAGGCCCGGTGACATTAAAACAGGATTCCCGTGAGTATAGTCTGAGGATGGAAAGTTAAAAAGGCTGAAGGAAAAGGCACGGAGCTCTGAGTCTGGGGACACCATGAAATGTACCAAAATATGCACAGCGAGAATTCCAAGGCCGAGAGGAGGGAGAAGTGGAAGAGAATAACTGAAGAAATCAGGGCTGGAAACCAGCCCAGTTCTGAGGAAAGACACAAATGCACACAGTCAAAACGCTTAACAGACCCTGCGTAGGCAACTGAGAGACAGCCAACCCGGGAAGCTGCCGCCAAGCCACCGAAAGGCAGGTGGCTTCCAAGCAGTGAGCGAGAAGTGAGTCACAAGACATTTGCTAAGATTCATAGCCGGCTTCTCCTTAGGAGGCACGTTAGGTCCAAAGACACCGTTAAGGGGAAAGTGCAAGAATGGGCAATATGTTCTCTGCAAACTTTAACCAAAAAGGAACTGGGTGGGTAAATGTGGAGGACCACCGGGACGACTCTCCTTGAAAGGGCCGTCCTTGCCATTTTGGCTGAACCTGGCCCTGTTCCCATGAGTTGATGTGTACAGAGCTGGCTAGGACTTTACTTTTAAAAATCATTTATTTATTTATTTATTTATTTATTTATTTGGTACAGGGTCTTGCTACATATCTCAGACTCGTAGTGATACTCTTGGCTCAGTCTCCCCTGCCCTGGGATTCCAGGCATGTACCACCACGCCCGGTTTCGGTGGCTGGCACAATGCACCCAAGGCTCCAGAGATTGAATCCGCGTCCTCGCACTTGCCAAGCAGGTGCTTAGGCCACTGAGCTGTCTCCCCAGCCCTGGCTAGGCCTTTTCTGTGTCCCTTCAGCTGGCTTTCAGCAATGTGAGAGGGTCTTGGCAAGGCGATGGGTAGTCTTGGAAGTAAGGTGACAGGGCAGTCTGGCCCTGCCTGTAGCTCCCAAGAAACATGAGTGAGCCAGGCAGACAGCAATTCTGTGATGGGCCTAGGCCTCGAGGTAAGAGGCAATGACTTCTCAGGACATAAAAATGACACATCAGGGCTGAAGCACTGACCCCAAAATATCAGACACTTCCATGACTGCGTTCTGCAGATTACTCCTGTATCTCTCTTTCACACCGTAAACTGCACAGGTGAATGTAGCCTTCCTAGTAGCCTAGCTCACAGAACTTATGTTCTTCCTACCATTCTCACAATCACTCATCCTTTGCCCTTCTTCATGAGTTAATAAAAGCCTGGTTGGGCCGTAGGTCGAGGCCCTTGTTCTGGCTATCATTCTAGCTGGGCATAGGACCCCCTTGGTGCCTCAGAGTTACCAATATGCCTCAGTGCCTATCCTTACCACACGTTGTACTGGACATGGTGGACTAGCGTTGACTTGTTAGAATT